GCCTGGGCAGGCCTTGACGTTTTGTAGCGCCCTTCTCCCCTCACGGCATCCTTGCCTCTGGTTTCCTGATGGGCCAACCAATGACGTTTGTATTGGCCTTCGCCCCTCCTCATACAGAAAGATGCTAATGCATTCTTCAGCCGCCTAGCTGAAAAACATTCCCAGGCAAGGGTGTTTGATACGATTGTTTATTTCTGGCTTTTCCACACCTTACTCGGGCAACTACCCTTATGGTCTCCATCAGTGGGTCGGCCCTTTATGGGGTTTTATGGGGAACAGTAACGGCCTTCTAATAGCTGTGGCTCGTTCTGTACCCCGCTTCGTGTCTGGTACTCCTGGTCCCGTGTCTGAGACGTGTCTCTCCCTGTCTCCCTTCTACAAGTGCACCGCCTTCTGTGATCGTTGTTGACATACTCCTAAATCGCCACGCCTGTAATCCGGCAAGCCATCACTGCGGGTTACTCAAGAACGCTACCTCCTGCAGCCTCTTGTGAACCGAACTCAGTGGACCACCCCAGCGGTTTGCTACAAGCGCGATGCCTTCTGAGGTCGCTGTCTACAAGTTCCCATACCAAACCTTCAGTTTGGCGTGCCGCCACGGCAGGCTTCCTAATCGCGTTGCCTTTCACCGCCGCTCGTCATGCATTCTGTGCCGCGCTTTGCGGGCCACCACAGCAGTTTTCTACAAGCGCACCGCCTTCCGCGGTCGCTGTCTATATCCTCCTAGGTCACAACGCCTCCCATTCGGTGTGCCGCCGCGGTGGGCTTCTTAATCGTGCTGTTTTCCGCAGTCGCTTGTCAGGCATTTTAGTGCCGTATTCTGAGGACTGCCGCAGCAGCTTTTCTACAAGCGGGCCGCCTTCCGTGGTCGCCGTCTACACATTCTTAAATCATAAAGCCGTCAGTTCGGTGTGCCGCCTCGGCGGGCTTCCTAAGTGCGCTGCCTTCTACAGCCTCTTATCATGCATTGGTGCCGCACTATCGGACCGCCGCAGCGGTGTTTCTACAAGTGGACCGCCCTCCGCTGTCACCTTCTATATGCTCCTAAATCAACGCCTTCCGTTCGGCTTGCCGCCACTGCGGGCTCCCTAAGCGCACTGTCTTCCGCAGCCGCTTGTCATGCATTTGTGCCGCACTTGTTGTTGTTGTTACATGTCCGTGGGTGCGTTCCCCGTACCTGCAAACCACCCTAGTACGAGCCGAGGGCTCAAGGGCTGACAAATCGCCTATAAGCACCATCCTACCTCGCACTTCCAACGAGATAAGTGATGAAGTAAACTTACGGCCAAAGGGAACAATAGAGTTGCGGTGAGACCATATAAGTTCCAGCATCCTTGCCCGGCGTTCAGGCTCCCACTTCATAACGTCCTTCATGCCGCACTTAGCGGACCGCCACAGCGGCTTTTCTACAAGCACACCGCCTTCCGCGGCCGCTGTCTAAATGCTCCTAAATCAACGCCTTCAGTTTCGGCGTGCCGCCACGGCGGGCTTCCTAAGCGCACTGCCTTCCGCAGCCGCGTGTCATGCATTTGAGCCGCACTTAGCGGACCGCCGCAGCGGTGTTTCTACAAGCGCACCGCCTCCCCCGGCCGCTGTCTATATGCTCCTAAATCAACACCTTCAATTCGGCGTGCCGCCGCGGCGGGCTTCCTAAGCGCACTGCCTTCCGCAGCCGCGTGTCATGCATTTGTGCCGCACTTAGCGGACCGCCGCGGCGGCTTTTCTACAAGCACACCGCCTCCCGCGGCCGCTGTCTATATGCTCCTAAATCAACGCCTTCAATTCGGCGTGCCGCCGCGGCGGGCTTCCTAAGCGCACTGCCTTCCGCAGCCGCGTGTCATGCATTTGTGCCGCACTTAGCGGACCGCCGCGGCGGCTTTATGATGTAGCTGTAGTCCGTCCACACGTCCGAAGGCTCCGGGTCCGTCCACGCGTCTTGACTTCAACTTTCGTTTGCTTGCGGATTTCTTGACGCCATCCTGTATGCCTGTCTTGCTCATTGTTCTTTACGCCTTCGCACGTAGGGTAGCTGTTATGTTGGTAAGTATC